CATAATTATTGAAATACCGGGGGCGGAAATGAAAAAAAATACACATCCTACTATTTAAAAATGAACCAAAATGTCAGATACATGTACTAATACTTACTGAAATAAATCATGTACAGGGATACATGCCATCACAAAGAGTGTTGAAGAAATATGATCTACTGCAGTTTGCTGAAGTTGCACAAGCTGTTAGGTATGTAATGTTATCCAACAGGAAAGTTGATACATTTTATAATATGGTTATAATTAGTTTATATCTTCTTGTTTTTAAAAAGATTTTGTATGAATCAAAGTTTCATGCAATTGAAACTAATTTTGTAGTATTTCAATAGTTACTTGCTATATGTAACATTCAACTTTGTGTTTGCAATTATTAATAAAGTACTGGTGCATGGTTTATTTTATTTACAGTTCAGGAAATCTCCTCTCATTAAATAATGCATTAGAGAAAAATGAAGCATTCTTCATCAAATGTGGCATCTACCTCATCTTAGAAAAACTAAAGATCATCACATATCGCAATCTCTTTAAGAAAGTGTATGTGGCATAATTTCCTGTACATCAAAACTATTTGAACTTTAGAAATAAAGGGTTTCAACTTTGCAAATTTGATGGTTTGTCAATGATTTTTAAGACTAACACACTTGTGAACGTTTTTTCCAGTTATCTCATCCTGAACACCCATCAGCTCCCCATTGATGCATTCACTACAGCACTGAGAATGATGAAGGTGAATTTATACAGTTTTTATTATCTTTTTACAAGTTCACAACTTATTTCGGAGAATAATATATTACACCATAAATGATGTTTGATTTGATACCATGATTTGATCACAAGGAGTGCATTTACATTTATCTTGTAAGAGTTGGGTTTATATTGATTTTCTATGCATATGAAAGTATTTTGCCGAAACTAATCGGAGTTTTTCATGTGAAATTTTCAGGTTGACGATATAGACAATGATGAGACAGCATGTATAATTGCCAACCTGATATATGAGGTAAGAGTTTGCTAATTATATTGCCAAGATATGCAAGAAGTTGTTCGAATTTTCTGTCATACCTTTAATATAACATTGAGCTGTTGCATAATTGACTCATCATGACAACCATACAAATATACTAATTTTGCATTACAGAACAAAATCAAGGGCTACATTTCCCATCAACATCAGAAGCTAGTGGTCAGCAAGCAGAATGCTTTTCCTAAACTCTCAACTGTTCTTTGAAAGTTGAATGAGTTCACATCCATGATAAGACTTTGGGCTCTGATAATGTCGGCCAGTTTCTAGAAATATCATATGAAGTAGCTTTTTCTAGAAAAGTCAAAAATGTTGACTTTTTGTGGAAAAACATACTTTTTATTGTGTCAGTTTAATGAAGTCTAACTTGTTTGGACTATAAAATTCATGACAAATATGAAGGCTTTGAAGTTCAAAGAAGAATGCATTGTGCAATAGAAAAACATTTGTAAATTCTGTTCATTTTGTTGCAGCAGAACAGTTACATGTATTACATTAAAAGTATCTTTAAATTTAACATGGTGTTCTAATTGTTTTTATATAGAAGTTTATGTAGATAAGAATCATAAGATCAACTTCCGCCCCTTCCCCAAGCTTTTATGTCGTGGATGATTCCTTTGTTCAAAGGTCAAAGTCACTCATGGTCAATGCTGTATTGAACATTGGGAAAAAAGACTATCCTGGGTATTTATTTATTTTTATTATCATTATTTTTTATTTATTTATTTATTTATTTTACATGAAAGTGGATGTCATCAGTTACTCGCATATTGTACAAATAAACAATTTCAAAATTTTGAAGTCAAAGGTCAAGGTCATTTTAGAGATTTTCTCTGGGTAATTAATTTGAAATAAATATATGAGACATCACATGACTTTGGTAATTATATACATATTTTTATTTGTGATTGAATATTAAGTAACTCCAATCAGGGATTATTCAAATGTTATTATAAACTTTATAAGGGCATAAACCCAAAAATAGGTAACTAGACCAAATTAGGTACAAGAAATCAAATAGCATATCTTATGCTTAGGGGCCTATATCTTATTTTTTTTCAAAGCATCCTCGAGTATTATACATTCAATTTTATTTAAAAATGTTCTATTTTCATTATACCCGAGTAATATTGGTAAGAGTTACTTCCCGTTGTCAATTTAAATGCAACTTCCGGTTATTTGACATCTTCCTCCAAAATGGCGACTAAACGAAAGCAAGATGAGAAACACCTTAAAATGTTACGGGATATGGCGGCTTTACCCCACAACAGACAATGTTTCGATTGTCATCAGAGAGGGCCTACATATTTGGACATGACAATAGGATCATTTGTGTGCACAGCATGCAGCGGAATACTGTATGTGGTCGAATTTTTGTATTCAAATTAACTATGCACTAAAAGTAAAAACCACTTCATTTTGACTGTATTTTTCCTTTAACGTAACTAGAGACAGTTTCCAATATTATGTTTCTTCGGTATTTTGAATAATCGATCGTTAACAAAAGGGATTAAATCACGAAGAGATATTGTAACCAAAACTCTTATTTTCAACGGTAGCCCGAATTTCCCCTGTACAAATACAACATTTCTTACATGTGTGTAACATGTACAACAATTCATTTTCTCACAAAATTTTCTTGTTCTTAAGGACTGGTATCACCAACTATTTCGTAATGCGAAATAACACAATTTTTTCTTGAAAAATAATTTCAGTTCATAATGCACAGATACTTGGGCAGTCTTCGACAAATCCCGGGAGTCCGATGCCCGGGACCTGGTAAAATTGGAAGCTGGCATGTGGAAATTGCACACTTACAAGCCCGAAGGGCATGTAAATTCTAAGGCATAAGCCTCTGTATAGTCAAATTAGATAAGAACAATAACATTAAATGTACTTTAAAGTTTTTGATTTTGCATCTAAAGTGAAGTACAAAATAAAATTTTACTGACAGTTTATTTTACCGGGATTTCCAAGGAACTCTTCTGCAAAGGAGACACAAAAAGTGTACAGGTCGAAAACAAATGGCGAGACAATAAATCGACAGAATGATTTCAGCTAGATCATTTCCTTGGCATGAAAAGGCAAATAAGAATAGTATAACTTGATAAAATTCTGGGCATGTAAATATTTGGTAGGGCTAGCGTAATTCGTGATCACACCTGCCCAAAGGGCATGTGCTGAAAAAAATATTTGGCGAAGACTGCTTGGGTCAGCAACCAGTCAAAGAGCCCCCTAATAAAAATGTCCAGGTCAAAGCGCCCCCTGATTTAAGTCAAAGCACCCCTTAATTTTGGTCAAACCGCCCCCAAATATATTTTTTTAGAAAAAATACTGCCCCCAAATATTGGTCAAAGCGTCCCCTGATTCAAGTCAAAGCGCCCCCTAACATATTTTTGTAGAAAAAATACTGCCCCCAAATATTGGTCAAAGCACCCCCTGATTTTGGTCAAAGTGCCCCCTAACATATTTTTATAGAAAAAATATGGCCCTCAAATATTGGTCAAAGCGTCCCTTGATTTTAGTCAAAGCGCCCCCTTACATATTTTAATAGGAAAAATACCGGTCAAAGCGTCCCCTAATTTTGATCAAAGCACCTTTATCATATTTTTATATAAAAAATTCTTTACTGTCCCCAAGAAATGGTCAAAATGCCTCCTGATTTTGGTCAAAGCATCCCCTGGTTTTGGTCAAAGTACCCCTAACATATTTTGATAGAATTTTGGAAAGGGGATGGGGGTAATTACAGAGGGCTCAGGTAAAATCAAGATGTATAATTTCTGGCTTTTATTTCGGAGTTTGAAAAATCTAGCTAGGTGCCAGTAAAAAAATCAGGGGACATTTTGACCATTGCTTGGGGATGGATTCGAAACGATTATTTTTTATAAAATTATATTAGGGGGCATTTTGACCAAAATCTGGGGATGCTTTGGGGCATTTTGACCATTGCTTTAATTTCGGCCAAAAATCAGGGACACTTTGACCAAAATCAGGGGACGCTTTGGGGGGCAGTTTTGTAGTTTTACTAATATTCTAGGGGGTGCTTTGACTGGATTTCCTTGGGTCTTGGTTTAACAATTATATGTATGTACCTTATTGATTTGTAAAAAAAAATTTAAGGTATGCAGACTCTGTAATGGCATCTGCTCAACTCGCTTGTTTACATGGCTTGTTCTTTTTATAAAAACACTGCACCTACCAATATTTCTGCACCGGACGTCTCAGAACATTGATTACTTATTGTAAAAACCCTCACATCTTGCAATTAATTCCTAAAAGGTGATTTTTAAACACTTTTTCAAACTTTTCATTAGCGTGCCAGTTGATAAAGATGCTGTTTAAAAACAAAAAAAATTCCACATAATTTTTGTTAAGTCCACAAAGATTTTGCTTATAAACCTCAACTTTGTGGCCTGTTACAATTGATCTCTGGCCTTTTACTTTGAAATACTGTAGAAGTACTTTTTTCTGCGTGGTATTAATTTAACTAATTTATGTACGCAATACATATAATTTTCCACAGAAATTTTTAATAAGCATACTTAATATAAAAATAAGGCATTTAGTGCTAAAAAAAAATTAATACAAATTGGTGATTTTTACCTGCGAGAATATTTACATTGAAATTGTTCAGTGTAATGTTACTCATTAAAAAATGTCCTCTACAGAACAATAAGGGAAAACACTGTTAATTATTGAATATAAATTATCATAATTTAGACAAATACATATACAGTATTACTAGGTAAAATCTTTTAATAAGAATTATAGGATAGAAAGATACACATTCTAAATACTAAAAAAAAATTAACACAAATTGTTGATTTTTCAGGGAGAATATTTACATTCAGCTTGTTCAGTGTAATGTTACTCATTAGATGAATTGTCATTATATATTTTAAACAAGGGTCAATGGTTGAAAAAGATTTTTGTAATAAGAGAAGAATTTACTATACTTTTTTTTTATAGATAAAATTAATCCACCACACAGAGTGAAATCAATATCTATGGCCAGTTTTACCCCAGAGGAAATTGATTTCATTAAATGTCATGGAAATGAAGTAAGTTTAATTTTTTTTCAACTTTTCTGATTCTATAACACTAAAAAAAATATGGTATTATTGTTATTGAATGTTAAATTAATTGTCGGGGATCGTCTTCTGTCATTCCATAAAATCAAAATAGCACAGCATTTTATGACTTATTGTTTATCGTACTGCAGTTTTGTAGAAAAGTTTGGCTTGGGTTATATGACAGCCAAAAAGACCAAGCTGAACCCGACTCCAGAGATGAACAGAAAATCAAAGATTTCATGGCTCAGAAGTACGAGAGGAAGCGGTGGTACCAGGCGCCGACGGAAGCCATGAAGGAGGAGGCCAGACAAGTGAACGAGTCAGCCACAAACAGAAACGTACCCACACGACCACTGAAGACAATACTAGGAGACAAAACTCCCAAACTCGTGGTCCAAAATCAGGTAATAAAAAAGAAGAGTTTCTATTGTAGACAGCTGGGGGACAAATCTCCAAAATTTGTGGTTCAAAACAATACAGAGTGAAGAGTATCTATTGTTAAGATAGTGAAAAGCAGTAATATATAATTTTCTTTGTTTAGATAAATGTGACACACATTCATGACATTATATCTCAAAGTATGACAAAGTTATTTAAATGACATTTACTTGATGTAGAAATGTTTACAAACACTAAATATGAACTGAATAATAATCTTATTGCTCAGAAATATTTTATGCAGACTAACATGTCTGTCCCCATGTCAATTTTGAGTATAGGTATGTTCCTGTATAGAAAAGTCAAATTCATGGTATCTTAGACATAAAGAAATAATAAAAATTGTATAAACCATGCTAAAAAATGCTAATTTTATTGTTTATGGTAGATAAAGTGTATTATGGTTTGTTGACAATGTTATCAAAGTTAAACATCAGAAAAGTTATGTAAATAAAACACAGGATGCAGTTAGGTTTAAAGGCTATCAGGGTATAGGATTACACAATATTGTCATTGTTAAATAAATACAATGATAATAAACATTAGGGTTGCAGCTGATATCAGTCAGTGACCTAAAATGACTTGAAAGGAAGAAATAGTTCAAGTAGTTTTGATTTAATGACTTTAGAATTGTTATATTTGAATTAACACATCATATTTCTGATAATGATAAAGTTAGGATTTATTACTGGATGCCACATCATTGTTTCCACATGATTAGTTCTGATAATTTATATTTAGTAAAAACTAAAATTCACCCTTGAATAGGAAGGTAGTGGCACAATTATGAATCAAAATTTTAACTGCAAAGGACTATCAACAATAAATTGCCATAAATAAATTAATAATAACCCCCCCCCCCCCCCCCCCCCCCCCAAAAAAAACAAAAACAAACAAACAAACAAAAAACAAAACAAACACCCACACACAGCTTAACAACTTACCTGAAAGTGAACATACATACAGTACTTAGCACAGTATTTATTATATTAATTTTGTAATTTTTTTTTATAGTCCCCCCAGACAACACCAAAGAATCATGCAGCCCAGCAGCCCCCTCCTGTGTCCCAGCCCCCCGTATCCCTGAGTTCCTCCCCCCCAGGACAACAGAATCAGTCCTCAGGATCCACCACTATGGACCTGTTAGGGGATTTAGGAGGAGACCCTTTTGCATCATCGGCACCCCCAGCCCCACAAGTAGCCACAGGTGGTGGAGGTGAAGGTTTGTTCAGCAGTTACAGGATTCTTAATAACATATCTATAGAGGATTTATACTCTACCATAAGGACATCTAGTGTAGCTTTGTTTCCTACATACATGTAAATCAGACACTATTTTACACTATTTGCAAGTAGATGCACAGAAAGCTAGCTTTACTTTCTTTTCAGTAAGTATTCATAATGTTCCTGACTTCCCATATAAGTAGAATTTCTAGCGAGGATTTAATTTTGGCATTATTAGCAAGGGTGTTGAGTTCGCTAAAATTTCATATCGCTAAAAATTCATTGCGTTTTATTTGTAAAAGCTTCTTAAGTGGAAATTTTAAAATCGCTAAATTTGCATCTCTCTAAAAATAAACACCAATTTTTAACGACAAATCGCTAAATTTGCGTCTCGCTAAAATTTCCACTAATATGCGGTATTTATCCTCACAAGTACTTGTTGCAGACACATAAATATCATATTATCTGTATCACTTTTGAGATAATCATACAAATATAGATGATTCAATAATGAATGTAAAGGACATGATTTTCAATAAAATTTTCCAGAGAAAATTATCATATTGGATATATACTGGTAACATGAATGTCTGCCTGACATTCAAGGTCATACCTTTTTGCTGTGCTTTTAGACAGTGAGTTAATTTTTAGTCTTAAAAAAAACCAGATTCCAGAAAACAAAATTAGCAATATGAATATTATACCCCCTGCTTGAAGAGTAGGGAGGTATATAGTGATGTGTGTGTGTGTGTGTCCATCTGTCTGTCTGCCAGTCCGTCCATTATGCTTTGGGGTATTTATCTCTTATCCACAAATTCTCTTAAACCACTGAATGAAATTTAATGTGATAGCAAAACATGGACACTGCCATTAATTCTTTCAATAATATTAAAGGGTACACATTTCTTATGCACAACTCTTATACCAATGAATAAAATTTTATGATACTTTCACAGATTCTTTATCAAATAGTGCCATTGTGACCACTTATTTTAACTTTTGATCTGACATTTATTTCCACTCTCCCATTGCAAAACATGAATTTTGCTATTATAATCATATGAGAGGTAGGATAGGTAAAAGGAGGGGGGAGGTTCATTTTGTGAGCTCAGTGCTTAAAGTACCTATATAGTTTAGTTTGTGCTATTTCCAGCTATTTTTATTTTGTAACTTGTACTTTCATATAAACTTGGATATCAGGCAACTGAGGCAAGACATTTATGCTACTCCATGGCAAATCTACTTCACAGTATGGTGTACGATCATCAAAATTATAATGCATAATAATTAGCCCCCTTCCCCACCCCCACCCCCAAAAAAGATGGATTAATGTTAAAAGTTTTCAAAGTTATCATATTCCTTGCAAGGAAAAACAGTCCTAAAAGAAAAAAAAAGATGCACATGATTGAAATGTAAAGAACTTTCAAAGACTTAAATTCATGTAGACTTTTTATGCTGTAACTACTATTTCAGGGGGTTTTGCTGATTTTAGCCAGTTTTCTGCACAACCTGCTTCTCAACCCTTCCCAGCATTCCAGAGTTCCAGCAGTAAGTTCCTCCCCCCTCATTATTTTCATGTCATTTATAAACACTGTACATGTATTGTCACTTTACTTTTAGGCACCTTTGATCAAATGTTAACAAGTTTTTTGTTTTTTTTTACAATTTATGCATCTGAAATAGTAAGGCATACTTAAGAATGGTTGAAGCATAGCCTGACAGAGACAAGATTTGGGTCACAAATGAACCAAGTCAGATGCAGTAATATATGTATGATATATAAACATACATAAGAAAAAGAAAGCTATGTTCAGCTTGTAAAGTTGATATTTGGTCCAATTTAATTTTCTATTGTTGCAAAACATTGTAAAGAGTGTAAACATATTTGCTATGGATGCATTGAAGAAGCTTACTGATCACCAACAAGATTTAATAAAACTGGCTTGTCAAAGGAATATCAAAGACAACATTCAGATAAAAATTAGAATATATATTAATACCCGGTAATAGGGAGGGGTCTAAAAAAGACTGTGACTGCTATTCAATCACATTCACTTTTTGTGAATTAAATTATCTATGTATAAATGAAAACAAATACAAATGTAATTTGATTTTGAGTGTTTATTTTCACTTCATTTGATCATACCTCATGCATGCCTTAGTTTGCTAGATTGCAAATTCCTCTGAAATTTCATGTATACTTAGTACATTTGTATATTTAATTATACCCCACGCAACTAGTTGCGTGAGGTATAATGTTTTTGACCTGTCCGTCAGAGTGTCAGTCAGTCAGTGCAACTTTTCATAAACCGCTGGACAGAATTTTCAAACTTTACAGTATTTAGGACACAATGTGTAGATGTGCAATTACTCCTTCATAAACCACACTTTTCACAGAATTTTTGGCCATACCTTAAATATAGAGATGAGCATTTTGTCAGTGCAACTCCTCATAAACCGCTGCACAGAATTTCGTCAAACTTTACAGGTATTTAGGACACAGTGTGTAGATGTGCATATTACCAGGAAATTCCAATTCCTTTATTTTTCTGGGAATTTTGGCACTTTTCAAATTAGATTTTTGGCCATACCTTGAATATAGAGATGAACATTTTGTCAGCGCAATTCCTCATAAACCGCTGCACAGGTTTTCGTCAAACTTTGGAGATATGTAGGACACAGTGTGTAGATGTGCATATTACCAGGAAATTCCGATTCCTTTATTTTTCTGGGAATTTTGGCACTTTTCAAATTAGATTTTTGGCCATACCTTGAATATACAGATGAACATTTTGTAAGCGCGACCCCTCATAAACTGCTGCACAGAATTTTGTCAGACTTTGCAGATATTTAGGACACAATGTATAGATATGCATTTTACCAGGAAATTCCGATTCCTTTATTTTTCTGGGAATTTCCGCACTTTACAACTTAGATTTTTGGGGATATCTTGAATATACATGTAGTGATGAACAGTTTGTCAGCGCAACTCCTCATAAACCGCTGCACAGAATTTCATCAAACTTTGCAGATATTTAGGACACAATTTGTAGATGTGCATATTACCGGGAAATTCCGATTCTTTCATTTTTTCTGGGATTTTCAGCACTTTGAGTTTTGGGGTAGCATGGGGTATGTGAGCTTGCTCACTTTTTCTTTCATTTAAAAAGTTTTAATTAAATAGTGATAATGTATTTTGTTATGAACTTGTTCTTACTTGTAGTTTTTGTGAGGTCAATTTTTTCAAGTAATTTTACTGTTATAAAGCAAGTTCAATTTACATCTTGTTGTTTTCAAATTAATTCTGTATACAGGGTTATTTTTGCCCCGTTTAATTTTCGTCCCTTTCGTCCTTGTCGGAAGTGGGTGAATTTAAAACGGGACGAATTCAAAGTAAGCAGTATAATATCTTAAACAAAGATCTTTCTGGGCGAATTTAAAATGGGGTAAACTTGTTTCCAAATGAAAGGGAGAAAATAAAACGGGACAAAAATAATCCTGTATACAGTATTTACTTCCATTAATTCAAAAATTCAAAAGCTCTGTTTGAAATATTTTAAGAATTGAGGAGTATGGAATCTTGTACATGTATGTGTATTTTGTATTTTTGATGAAAGCACAAGTTATTTAAACTGCCAAAACACCTAATTCTATGTGACTTCATTTTCTTTCTTTCTTTCTTTTTCTTTTTCTTTTTTTTTTTTTTTGATAATTAAAATTATCTGGTCATGAGTATCAACCGAATTTAATGACTATGACTTTATCCATCAGATTTTTTTTTACAATTTAAAAAAAAAAAATATTTATGCAATATATATTACAATGAATTTACAGATACAAACACACTATTTCCAATGTCCAACACACCAATCAGTGCTGCCCCAGCAGTGAATGGGGGATTCCCCAGTTTTTCCCCTGCCCAGGCCCCTCCATCAGCGCCTTCTGGCGGTGAATCCTCAGCGTCAGGGGGAAACAAATACTCAGATCTAGGAGACCTGTTCAGCACCCCTGCCACAACAGAGTCCAACACAACAGCCCTAAGCTGGGGTGGATCTACCTCCAGTTCAGGCATCTCCTGGGGTGGGGGAGGAGGAAGCAGCAGTTCAGGGGGGATAGACTGGAACAGCGGAGGGGGTGGTGGAACGGGTATGAACTGGAGCAGTGGGGGGTTGAGCAGCACCATGGGAACCACCATGAACTGGAACGCTTCTTCAGGCAGTACTAGTTCTATGGCACCATCTCATTCAGGTTTGTGGAATAATTCTACAAAGTTTTAGAAGGAACCAGCAATTTATGATTTCTGTACATCTTTTTTACTTGTATTAAACACTTGTATATATTTTTGGCTAAGTGAACTTTTTAAAAATAGATTTAGAACAAGTTTATTTTCATGAAGCTAAATCAAGACCAAATTTGCATGGGTGTTGTATGTAAAATAAAAACTACCAGACTTGCTATGGATTCTGTTTCTCATATATATTTTCCAGATGCATGATGAGGGTGGATTTTTCTAGGGTCAATTCCCAAGTGCTGTAAAGCCTTATCTTGAAATCACCCCTGATGGGCATGAAAGTTCTATTATGATGAATTGCATTTGTAATTAAGAATTCAAATATTGAATATTCATTAAAGAAAACTTTATAATCTTTTGATTAATGAAAGAGAAAAACAGAAATGATTTGGGTACGTGATTATTATTATTTAGAGAATACTACATGATTTCTTACAGCCTTCTGTATCCCCCCCAGTGCTTACTCGTATAGCCAGCTGGGTAGAGGTGGAAACCCGTTCTTCTCAGACTCTGGGGGTAATTTAGCATGTCCTGATTTCTTCTGAAACTTTGCTGTTGAATGTTGCATTGAAAATATTCCGTTTATCAAGGCATTGTTGGCTGTGTTCCAGCTATGTTAGTTCCCGTTATTTGTTTGAAGTTACTTTTATGTTGTTAAGAATGGCATAGGCTTCAGCTTATGCATTATTAGATAAATATTGAACAGGTATGTTGCAGGTCATGCATTTGATTGTTCAAAGAATGGTTCTACTGACATTTAGAGTTTCTGTTTTATTAAAGATAAACAAAATTCACTTAAAGTTTGCATACATGCATACATATGTCTGTGTGCTTCTTTGCGTTTCTGAGAAAAGAGGTACATGTATTACATTAAAAAAAAATGAATTTTTTTTCTGTGCTCTCTGATTTTAGAACTGATTTTGAGTGAAACATAATAAACAAAGTTGTGTCTTCAACAATGATTTAAGTTGTTATCATTTTGAAAAAAAAAATCGACGTAATCTTTTGCTTTGAGACTTTGGCATCAGTTTGAATTAAACTTTTAAAATTCATGAAATGAAGTATATGTACATGTATATTGTACACATAACAAACTTAAGATAAAAATCAAGTCAGTATATGAGCTATATGCATACTACCTGTAGTTTTAGATTTAGAGATAACTTACATTGATTAAAATTAGAATCCACTAATGAAGATATCCTTGGCATGGAATACTACGGTTCATTTTCATATCAATGCAGTATTTTAATGCCTTATAACTAGAAAAAAATAGTAATGCTAATATTCTTTTTTTGTTACAGCATGTTGATAAAACTACATTGTGTAAATGCCTTTAACAATTATTCTGCTTGCCCCTCTCCTAATTTAGCAGCAGATGCAACAGAAAATGATCTTGAATTGTTACATTGTAGCCTGTGAAGATTTTTGTCCTTTGATGATAAATATTTAATTTTAGCTCTGATGGTGCAAGTAGAATTTATAAGGGTACATAACTTTTTTTTTTAAAGCATTTTTGGTTTTTTTAACTTTGATGAAAGGGTAACCATAGAAACAGTTTCTTGAAAATTTCTCAAAATGCTATTCTTTCAAAAGGTTTGGTCCTATTTCAATGAGTCTTGGTTAAAAGTAGATGTTCTTCCTTTTACAATGATTTCAATAAAACTTGGTACTGGTTTAAGAGCATCAAGATCCAAGATTTAATAATTGTAAATGGAGAGGATTTTGAATTTTTTTTTTTTCATACATGTAGTAAAAACCAGTAGAGCTAAGATTGCCATCACTGACATTTTTTGTTATTTCTTAAGAGTACTGCAGGAAAGATGCAAGATCTTTTAGCTGAACAATTTAAATGTTATATAATTATATTCAAACAGGAGCCAATCCATTTGGAGAAACAACAGCTGCCACCCAGTCTAATGTTAGCAATCCATTCGGGGGAAGTGCAGGTGGAGGTCAGCCATCTTTGTTTGGCAACCAGCCTAATGCAGGATTTGGGCAACACTCAGGGGGGTTCGGGAATCAACCAACCAGTGTAGCGGGATTTGGGCAACAATCAGGGGGGTTCGGGAATCAACCGACCAGTGTAGCAGGATTTGGGTCGCACACCTCCACGGCGGGAGGATATGGAACACCCACATCAGCTGCTGGAGGATTTGGTGCCCCCCAAACGTCAGTGGCTAGAGGGTTTGGACCCCCTGCTTCAAACCCTGGTACTTTTAACATGGGAGGGTTTGGACAGACCTCAACAGCTGGAGGATTTGGAAGCACTCCTACGACAGGTGGGTTCGGACAAAACCCACCAGCTGGTAATTTTGGACCACCTGGGGGAGGTTTTGGAGGTGCGGGAATGTCAAATCAGTTTCATAATCAGAATGGAGTCTTCAGTTCAATGGGACCATCAAGTACAAGTGGTGGATTTGGGACTGTTTCACATGCCCAGACAATGCCAAATCAGTTTGGACATTCAATGCCAGGACAATTTGATAATAAAATGGGAGGTGCCCATGGGTTTCCATCAGGATGGGGAGGCCAGCCTGCAGCCACAAGTGCTCAGCCAGTCAATCCATTTTTGGTATGTTCTAATGCAGAGTTTATATCTACATGTATTTGTATAGTATGTTGACAGCAAGTAATGCTATTGAATTAAATCTAAATTGTACCTATAAGCCATGATTTCATCAAATTTTTTTTTCAGTCAACAGCCTCTCAGTCAATGGCCCCAAAGAGTGGTTCAACAAATCCCTTCTTGTGATGGACTGGAACAGTTTGTTTTAGCTTTTTATGAATTTAATTTTGAGTGTACACTTCTTGAAAGGTCTTTTCAACCAAAGGTGATTTTTCAGTTGAACAAAGATGACAGTGGTGCCATGTGTTGTTGAATGCTATCAGTGTGGGCTTGCATGAGATTATAAGGAGTTTGGAAGATTATATTTCTCTCATGAAACTGAAGTCATTTTCATGTGCGTGTATACTGATGTTATTAAATTTTACTAAGCTTTTGTTAAATCAAAGGTATATTATTTGATGCAGAACAGTTAGCAAAGAAGAGTATGTTGTGATATGGAGAGTAGCTTTGCCAGATGTAATATCCTTCATCTTTTTTTTTTCCTTTTTGGTTTGACAATCTCTTAAATTCTTAATCATTGAGAGTACAGTTAAGGTCCAAAATGTGTCAACAAAGCCAAATTTGACTATGATTGCGGAATTTGTCAGCTCAAAATTTTGCATTATTTGTAAATTTTCCAGTTTTTAGTGAATAGATCATTGGAAAGAATTAATGAAGTTGAAGATAAAAGATTTTCCATAGCCAAAAATGCAATTTTATTTATTTTTTTTTGGCCAAAGTGATCTAATAAGATAAAGTGCCATTCAGTAGTTGTTGGTCAAGAGCTAAATTTAGCAAATTAAGCAACCATTTTCAGATTTAGCAACATTAAAGTATAAGGACCTTTCCTGCACTGTAGTTATTATAACTACCTTTAATATACAATCATTAATTTGGAATAACATGTCTAAAGAAGTAGAGGAAGCTTAGAATTGTGTAAAAGTGAATTAAATTCAACATTTTCCCTAGAATTTTATCACAAATATTTAGAGTATTTGTATTTGAATTACATGTTTGAAAATCCGATTTTTATGTCAGTTGTTTAAGGTTTCAGTAAGAGTGTGTTAATTTATGGTTAGTGAAATGTTTTGCTTTTATAAAGTGCAGTTGTGTTAAAATGTTGAAAATTTTATGTATTGAAATTTCTTCGTAGAAGTATTCATATTCTTACTATAAACCATGTACTTTTTAATAAGTTAATTTTCTTATCTTTTTGGCATTGATTATTACTGTAATAAGGGATATATCATCTTGAAAATTATACATGTAAACAAAACTTAACATTAAGATGAGGATTGTGTATGAAAGAAGTAATTTTACACATTGACTTTTTTTTAAAGAAATGAATCTATGTAAATTATTTCAAACCAAGTTTGATGTCATAGATCAACAAATGTACATACATGTATATATATATTACCATATTTTCATCATACCCCGATTGTAAGAATGTATCCAAGGGCATTAAATTGCAAAAAAATTATAATTTAAGTACATTGTAACAACAAAATTAAGTAGTTACATAAATTTAAAGTTTGTTTCAATAATATGTTTTGTAATTTCTGTCTAAAAGATTTTTAAACTCAAAAAATATGTGTTAGTAAGTTCATAGATTATGTCTTCCATAACAATGCTAAGTTTAAAATTTATAGAAGGTTTGAAATTTGTTGTGACAATTAAATTAAAAAGAAATGTTTAAACTCTTAGTATTAAAAAAAACAATACAGACATGTCAATTTAAACGAAATCATACAATTCTCTCTAGGATTTCGAAAAGTTTGAATATGAATAGGAATATCTCTGCAACAGAGTTTATTCTATTGTGAAGAGGCTGTAAATCCAATGATGTACAACTATGACCTTGCTAGTGTCTTAAGGAAAATGTGACTTTTAAGTTATATTTGTTATTAATTAAATGCTTCATTTCAGAATATGCCTTGTTGATATTTGTATGATTATTATTTCCACTGTATGAAATATTAAGGTTTTGAAAAGTCTGTGCAAAAACTCGTAATACATTATTTGCTTATTATGCAGAATGGTAAAATGCTATTGTTCAATATCTTGTCTAGAAACAGGGTACTGATTTTTATCTAAATATCTAGGCTGGGTGTGTTTATCTAATTGCTTTTTATCTCAATTGTCAAAGACGCAGCGTACAGCCTGTTTTGGTGTAGGCCATTGCTTTACGGGCATATATGGCTAAATAATTTTGTTTGTTACTATAGTTTCAGTATTTATACACTGTAGATATATTTAAATTGCAATAATTGGCAGAAATATTAATGAGCAGATGTATAATGAGTCATTCTTAATTTTGTTGTAAAATAACAAATATAAAATCAGATTTTATGTCATGTATTATGTGTTATATATCAGTAAGGATAGGATAAACTGATTGACTTAATTTTGAGTGTCAATTTCCATGCAAATTCTTTGCAAAATTTTTGAAAAATAATCTACATGTGTAAAAGGGGGTCGCCTCCGTGTGTTTGATTTCCAACTGTTCTTATCTGCCTTGGTCTAGGGGACCTTCGTCATACACGTTTGAACATTTTCTTCCCTGGTAAGGATTAAGGAAAAACAATATTTTTAAATTCATGTTCTCCCTCTCCCTGAAGCTGACAGGGTTTGGCAAAATGGCAAAAACCATTAAAATTATAATAAGCATTCTGCAAACTGTGAAATTTTAGGTGTACCCGGGAAATATGTTTAGGACTGGGCGTAGTTCCTTAGCTGGCCCTCTTTTGAAAATGCTTTATATCTAACACACGCTTCTCTCTTTATCCAGGACATCTACTTGACAAACTGCATGTGTGTAACGAGAAGTGAACTCACAAAATTGTGAAAGTTATGTTCCCAAGACCGCGGAGTTGGTTGTCGAGATTCAAAGAATGTAATGTGACAATTCCTAAAAATGAAGCCTCAGTCAAAAAATGTCGAGTTTAGAAATGGTGCATAAAGAAGAGAAATGACAAACGGAAAAAGAAAGGGAAAATTAAATGTTGATCAATTTATAACTGATAATCAGTTTGGCCTTTTTTAAATATAAGTAAATGTTGAAAGATTAAATAAATTTCAGTATATGAGCAACTAAGCCCTACCTTAGCTGAACCGTATAGGGCAGTGGAGCTTTAATTCTGCAAGTTATTAGTGATAATCATCCGAAGAGTTTGCTAGCTGCAGAACTGTAGCTCTCCGAAAAATATATATTGACAGACCGGAGAGCTACAGTGCCACCCATTGAAAAAACTGTATATTTATTGCGCACAAAAAAGTGCGCTGTTTCTCGATTTATTTCTCCATATTTTTAAAGCGTTCATCTCAAATTATTACTAACCATGTGTTCCTAACATATTCTTTCACTGTTTCCACCACAAAGCATCCCTTATAATTGTTGTTGATAGCCCTCCTGCCCCTGATATTGAAATGATCAAAAATTTTGTCTATTCATACTGCCATTTTGGTAAGCAAGATATAATTCAGTCCAACGTGCATCGTGCAGATGTCAACTACGAGATTACTTGATTGAGGAGTAAGGAATTTTTTGAAATTAAACTCTTTCGCAATTGAGGTAAGAAATAGGAAGAATTAATCCATAACCGAGCGCACTTTTTTGTGCGCAATAAATATACAGTTTTTACAATGGGTGGCACTGTAGCTCTCCGGTCTGTCAAAACATTTTTCGGAGAGCTACAGTTCTGCAGCTAAGAGTTTGCCTGAGTAAGGTGTTCCCTTGTACGGCGTTCCTTTTTACTCATAAATACTAAGAATGTATTCAGAAGTTGAATATGATTCAGCGCTAATTTCAGGGAAGCTGCTGAAAACTTTTTAAAAAATTATAAGAGAGGGCGATGGACGAAAGCGGATATAACAAGTATTTTGAACCGAATTGTCTGAGCAGCATTAATCACAATTTAAAAAAAAACAAGATGTGTTTGTGAAGCACTGATCCCCCCCCCCCCCCCCGTATTGCACCTTATTGAGAGGGTTTAAATTTCTCAAATGCAAGTTAAACTCAAAGGTCAAATTTGTTGGTATCCTATAGAAGGTCTTCTCCCAAGGAATACACTTGTGACATATGAAAAACCCAAGTACTAAGGGTTCAAAAGTTATGGTACAAGATTATAACTACAATTATTCTCTGTGGAGTTATATGTATATATGTTATTTTAAAAAAAATGGTTGACGATACTTCATGGTTGTTGTTTGTATATTAACATGTAATGGGGTCGATGTGAAATTCTTTAAATGTCACAAATATGTGCAATATTATAATTTATTCGTTGGTATTTGGCTTTCTTAACTGTTTCCTTAAAACTATGAAAATCAATATTCTTTGTCTGGAAACATTTTAATAGTAAAGGATATACCCAGAGGAAAAAAATCACAACCTTTAATGCAAGGAAGATTTTATTATTATTTTGAATGAGGAAACACGGAGTTATGCGAAATGACCAAATTTTTCTTAAATTTCTTTTTCATAAATTCCATAGTGGCTCCAATGTGTGTTTTATTCATATGCGTTACAATTATGACTGTCTTCTCTACCTCCAGACCGATTCCCAATCCACTCCCAGCAGTATGGGGAACAGAAGCTGTGATGACGTTCTTTAGTATGGTGGTCACTTTTGTCATTTGGTTCCTTGTGAAGAACAAGCAAGTCAAATTCTTCATCGACCAGCGAAGAAAGGATCCAGCCCATAACCTTAAACTGATTTTCTTCTGGTTATTTGGGATCATGTACATCTTCAATTCTGCCATGAATTTGGGAATCAATGTTGAATGCGTGCTTGATGATAGACCAGAACCATTTCCATTTGCGTATTACATTAGCATCTTATGCCATATATCAGGTATATTTTATTGTGTTGGACAACTGGGATTTTTAAGTTTTTATGGAAAATACAGTTTTAAGTGCTCTTCTCTGATTAACCTCGGGATATCTCTCATGATTATTGCTCACATACTCACTTGGTTCCGGCTACTCTTAGATTCCATAACGGATGTCAATAGTGAGCCATGGAATGCTACAGTTGCTTCGCAGGAAGATTGCTTCTTGACATCCAACATTTCCTCTATTGGAAGAAGCATACGTCCATACACTAGACCATTTATCACTGAATACAGCTTACTTTCCACCGCGATAGTTCTCAGAATGTTAGGTATTTCTGACAGCAATTCAATGATACTGTCTTCTGAAGGAATTGGGCATACCGGTAGAGTTTCTAGTTACAAACAGTCGATTGAAAGTTTGGAAAATAGCAGTACGGAAAGTAGAAGCATTTCATATTTTGCGCCAATTGGGACTGGCTTAATTCTTTCCTTGCCGTTTCTATTGGGATTCTTTGTATTTGCGTACCTTCAAACTCCAAACACGGCAATGATTTTTAGAATAATAAGTATCGTGTATGAATGCGAAGTTCTTGTACTTATTTCACTTGGAAGTTGGAGATTTCGATCCGAATTCTGTGAAGAAATTGAGAAAAGCAGCACTGCGCCCAATAATGAGATCGTCCTTGTCTTCGTCACTGCTGGCGCTGTGGCCTATGAGATTTTTGGTTGCATTGCTGGACTGATGCTTACTAAATCAAATTTAGGCCTTCTTCTGTTTTTGAATAAAATTCTTCAAATAATTGTCATTGTGGTTCAATCAATTTTCATCCTCTACACCAACAGAACTACGTTTAAACTGCGGGTTGTTCGTAAAGGATTACTGAAGGCTTACAATATTTTTCTTTGCGTGTTCTTCATGAACATATCAAGGTGGTTGGTAGACAGTCTGGTGGCGGGAAAGAAAACTCAGGCCATAGTCATACAAGAACAGTTCTACAAAGAAGCTTATTGGAAAACCATAGAATATACTGTTTTTCCAGTAAACGTTTTTTATAGATTCATCATTGCCATAGAAATGTTTGTATTGTACAGAAAGACTGTAACCTGCTACTGATTTTAATATAAACAGAAATAAAATCGAGTTTTCATGAAAAAAATAATTGAAATATAAATTTTGGTACACATAAGAACCTAATGTTTATTTTCATACGTTCTTGCCTTTTGAAAGAGCTAGAACCACGAACCATGTACATTTGTAGTACCTTAACTCAAAAATTAATGAAGATTTCAAGACTTTGAACTTTTCATATCTGTTTTTATATTGTAGATATTTATTCTTTTTCAGGAAGAAATTTCACAGTATGACATTGATTTGATTGAAATTTATGTGTTTTTTTTTTCTAGCATGTGTGTAAATCAACACTTGCATACATTTTAATAAAGGGGGTAGATCAACTGTCCAATAAAGAAATGGGAATTTTATTTTTTTTTCTATAATTCTAAGGGGAATTAACAGAAATTCGTGTATTTCATTGTTATGCTGAATGAAGATAATCGAAGATTCGATAATTAATAGTTTTTGCCCTTCCCGTCCGTCTGTCTAGCTGTGTGTTTGTCCGCCAAAACTTGAACGTAGACTATACCTTTTGATTGATTAGAGATATATTATGGCTTTCATAATTGCACATAAGTAATCTGCCATGTTGTAAGTTTTGAAGAATTTATCAAGTGACAGTAAATACAAAATTTAGCTCAATGTCATGCCGTAAATTTTATATTTTACTGCCACCCGGTATTAATTCAAAATTTACAACATGACAATTCCTCGTGACTAGACCTTTCCTTGGGTACCGACTTATTTGACATCTTGACTTTAACAAACTTTTACCCACTTTTGCAAAATTTTACCCAACTTTCACTTGGCCAAAACTTTGGACATTTAGTTTCAAGGCTTTCATATTTCAGATGTCTATCCATTGTAACAATGCTCTTCCATGAGTGTAAATATATTTGACTTTTTGTTTTGACCTTGACACTAGAGTTTGACACCTCTTTAAAAAATTAACCTTGGTCATCTTTTGAACACAGTACTAGGACAGTTAAAATCCTAAAGGTTATTTATTGTGACAAGACATTCCTTTGGATACCAACAATGTTAACGTTTCGACATTCATCTTTGAGTTGGACCTAATTTTGAAAAAAAAGTTAAACCTTCGCCGTAATGTTTGAACAGATGTTGCATGGGCTTTTGTATTTTAAACATGGATTTCTCCTGACAAAGTCTTTACCTGAGTACCATTAATTTTGACCCCTTGATGACCTATGAGTTTTACCCAGTTTAGGAAAATATTATCTGACCATAACTTTTCTGTGGTTATTGCTCAGGCTATCATAACAAGCATATCCATTGACACAAGTGCTTCTTTAGGTACTAACATTTTTGATTTCTTGTTCGTGGAGGTTGACTTGTATTTGAGAACTTTAACCATCACCATAAGCTGCCATGCCGGGGCATC